AGTACGAGTAGAGAGAGAGAGAGAGAGAGAGAGAGAGAAAGGAAAAGAAAGAGAAAAAGGAAAAGAAAGGAAAGAACTTTTATTTTCTTATTTTTATTTTTTTATGTTTTAGTAGTATACATTTCTTTTATATCTTTTTTTGTTTGTTTAGATTGAGATCTTTTCTTAACTTTACCTATATCTTTTTAAATTAATCATGATATTTTCTTCTGCAAATGTACAAATTGGTCTTGCATTTAATGCCACAGTTAAGAATCTTAAAGTCTTGGTTACATAATTGCTTGTGTGCATGCTTGAGTTCAGTTTGCTACACGGCCTTCCTCGTAGTAGTAACACTTGTTCATTACTTATCATCAAGCTCGCTATCTCCTTTCTTTTCATTTCTACTTCATCATGTAAACTCGCTACTATATTTTTTCCAGATTTAGAATCCTTGATGCAACATCTTTACCAGTATCTTGCATTCTCTTCTCTTCCTTTGTCTTCTACTCTTCCAACATCTTTCGGGCTTAATTGTAATCATCTATTAGATTACTGATTATTTCTTTCCCGAACAAACCGTTGACCTATTTATGCTCTCGGTTCAACGTCTTGTACGCAACTATTCGCCTTAACAACGCTTTTTGAATATCGTTTATCTAATAAAAAGTATTTATAAGAACTTAAGAAACGTTCATAATTTAGGGTATTACCTTTTCGGATTTCCAGTAACACCAAAAGAAGAAAATTTATATTTTAAAAGACACGACTAGCCATAATCACAACTAATATTCACAAATTTATTTTATTTGGAATAAGAAATATAACTAATCGGTTGATAAAAAAAAAATAACTAAAAGAGGATTAACATTTATATCCAATATTACATACTATGATTGTAAATTTCATATATTTCAAATAGGGACATTTACTTAGATACTACACAATTTAGGTGAAATGACTAGATACATACAAGTTTTTTTTTATTACTAGAATATTTTGGGTATATTTTCGATTTCCAGCGTGTCCTTTGTTACACGTTATTGGAAAAAACATAATTACAAAGAATGTTATTGTCGCGTTAGAGAAAACGCATCTCCATGTCATAAATATTGCACATGTATTAAATAACTCAGCCATTATGTTGCGGCTAATTTAAGGAAAACGACTGAGTTATGAGCGAAGGGCTAAGTTATGAGCGAATGGCTGACTTATGAGCAGAACTCAGTCAATAGTTACAGCTGACTTAATAAAATCTGGCTGAGTTATGAGCTAACGGCTAACTTACGCGCATAACCTAGCCGTAGTTGAAACTGTGTTTAGACCCGATGGTTGATTTATCAAAATTATGGTTGAGTTATTGCTTCGACACGACTGAATTAACTTTCTCTGGCTGGCTGAGTTATCGACAACGACTCAGTTATGAGATGTCGTTACGACTGACTTATGTTTCATAGTCATAACTCAGCCGTAATGAGCTGGATTAACGGAAAACTCGGCCTTGATACAATAATAGTATTCTTGTTGTGGTGACTTAAAGTTTTGTTTGATCGCTGATTTATTTAGAAGAGTTATATGTTCGTTTGGTGATGGACTTGCCATGTCAAATGCATTATTCCATGTCATCATCAAGGATGGAAATGCAAAACGTCTTCTTCTTCAACATGGGATTTTCAAACTTTTTTTTATTTTTTATACTTTGTTGTTCTTCACCTAGTTCTTCACTTGGTTCCTCATTCTTCTTCATTTTCGTTGATGGATCCGTTTCCACTAATTGTTGTTTCCAGTAATTGGCTAAAGAAACACAAATATGTATTTAACATCGACGATAGAGGGTGTAGAGTTGAGCAGATAGATGTGGAAAGAACGCACGTCAAGCTTGTGAAGTTGGTTCTCGATGACTACGGATTGAATGAGTTTAGTCATTAGGTAAAGCTGAGCTACATGATGTCATTAGAATAACTTCCCCAAACCCAAAATAGTAAGCATTAAGTCAATCATGTCGTTGGCATAACTCGGCCAAACCACGAATTTATCTTTGTTTAGTCAGCTATGTCGTTAGAATAACTCAGGCTACTCAGCCAAACCTTGAATTATTCTGTGATAAGTCAACCATGTCGCTAGCATAACTCGGCCAAACCTCAAATATGGCAAATGTGAATATTTGATACATTCACGTAATTAAAACACTTTAATAAGGTGTAATTAACATTTTTCTCACTTCAATTTACCAAGATAAATATCATGAAATTAGCTCATGTTTGTACCTTTTAAACTAATCCAACAAAACGATAAATCCCAAACTCTATACTTCGCTTCCATTCCTCGACAGTTGATCAATGTAAAATATGAATGGGTTGTAAGTGTGAAATTTTTATTGTATATTAATATTATAATATTAACATTATTATAACTAATACTAATGTTAACATACATATGTCCCTTTAAATTAAACTTTCACTCATAAGTCAGCCGTGAAAAGTATAAAACTCAGTCGTGACGTATTATTTTACAATCAAACACAAAACTTGAATTATTTTGAATATTGTTTTTGGAATATTTGAATAAACATATTCATTTATGAATTTATCACGCATGTGTGTGTGAAAATGTGTACGTAATTATTAAGCATAACTCAGCTGTAATGTAGCATATCTCTGCCGTAATATAGCATAACTCAGCCACAATGTTGCATAACTCAGACAAAAAGTTGAAAATGACGTTTCGTACTTCTCTATTGTTTTTGTCGGGAAACGAAAAGTCCCAACTCGAGTTGAGACGAAATGCGAAAACAATGACGACGAGAGAGATATAGCATCTCGTCAGTATGACTCGAAGCGGCCTGAAGAGACGAGGGAGAGGAAGAGAAGCGGTGATGGTTTTCGTTCATCGTCTGAATTTTCGAGAGAGGGAAATAAATTTTTTTTTCTTGTTCGTGAAAAATGACCCAAACGATTTAGTTTCCCCCTTTTTAATCATTAATGATTAATGACGTGGATATTGTGAGTATGATATGAATATTTTGGGTACGATGTGGATTTTCAAGTATGACGTAGAATTGTTTAATGAATAGAAAAATGGTGTTGATTATAATTACACCCATGACACTAAACATATGAGTAATTTTCAAAAGATTTGCATAATCTAGCAATATTCCAACAATTGTGCTATATCTGAGTAATTATTTATTTCATATACGGTTTTCCAAAAAAATGTATTTATCTTTTTTCTTTATACATTATTTTATCTTTTCATTAATATCTTGGTATATAAAATATCAGAATTATAAAAATGTAAATTAATGAGATGTCTAATCGCGATTGATCAAATGTCCTAGGAGAACTACAAAGTTAAGCGTGTTTATATTAGACTAGTGCAAAGATAGGTGACATTCCCAGAAGTGAATATCGAAACTGTGTGAGTGAGGCCAAAACATAGAAAAAGATCATGTGGTGATTTGTATGGTCGGAAAACAAGTCTTTTAGCCGGTCATCGGATATGGATGAGCTCACATGCGTAGTAAAAGAACGTGATGCCCATTAAGGGAGGTGGGCCCATGGGCTAAATATGAACATAGAGCCCACTAGAGAAATGACGGTCTGGACGTTACAATGGTTATGTATGTTTTGTAGCAAGATAAATTTTTTTTATTGCACCAACATCATAAACCATAAAATAATAAAAATACTCATTCATTATTATTATTATTATTAATAATCAATTCATAGATCTATCACATGAGCTTTCAACATTTAGGTTGAGGAATATTACAAAGCTTGTATGTTTTGTGACTACCAGGAGAATCAAAAAGTGCTCGTGACCACTCTCCTTTAATGAACTGACACAAACATGGTATGTGTTCTACCATTACTTTACAACAATGTTAATTCGGTAGTGCTTCAGGTTGGGTTAACGGTAGCAAACATGGCCAGAAGACATCCATTAGAACGCATGTCACCTTCTCTTCTATCGGACCATTAGCTATTGTGGCTCTGATCAAAGTTGGAGACAGTTGAAGTATTGTCACCAGCACAAGCAATGTCAATGTTGTAAACTTCATGTCTTAGAATATTGAGATTTTTGATTTTGGTGTTGATGGTAAGAGTTATTTGTTTATGAGGAATGTGTTGAGTTGTTATATATATAATTTATATATGTTATGAGGTTACCTAAATAACTAGAAATTAAAGTCTAAAAAGATTTGATTTGGCAATGTATATATATAGTTAATAACTTTGACCATGTTTTCTTTATAAAAATTCACTTTTAATATGGTATCCATATGTTTTAAATATGTTGAAGATTTGAAATCATTGCAACTTGTAAATATAAAGTACTACTCCCTTTGTCTCATTATAAAGAGTTTTTGGTTAAAAGCACAAAAGATTAATAAACATTAATTGTTTGATTATTTATAAAAATTCAAACAATAGGAGAATATACTGAAAAAATTAAATAATCATATATCATTAAATTAGTAAAAATTATGCATAGAAACTTGCATAAAGCTAATAAATTATAACAAATAAAAAAAGCCTACAAAACATAATATGTATTGGTATAAAGGGAGTAGATGTTTAAATATTAAGGATACTTTTTATCGAATCATAAACTTTTATAAAAAAAATTAAATTTATTAAAGATGAGTATTTTTAAAAAAGTGGTATTGGAAAAAAGATATTTTTGAAATTCCCCCAACTTTGATGAATTAAGAAATTTTTATAAAATTTGGAAATTCTCGCAGAATCCATTGATTTTAAAATCAAAGTAGATTTAAAAAAAAAAAAAAAAGAGATTTCAAAAGAATGTTGTCACACAAAATTACTCTAATATGTCACACAATGTAATGTTCCACTTCTTTTATTGATGCTAATTAAGAAGTTAAGTTTAATAGACATTGCATACAATGTTTTTGAGCCAAGCATGACATGTGTATAGTGTTAGAATTATTGTCTTTTTCATTACATGACACAGCTAGTTTTTTTTATTTACACATGATCAAACCTTAAAAACCATCAAAAAGAGGAACATGACAGTTACTATTACAGTAGAGTTTAACTCAGAATCCAGGTATATAAAAGTAACCCGGCAAAGTAAACACTGCAGACACATATTATATTATGTTCTCTCTACTATTACAAACCATTAAACAGGAATGGAGAAAAATGTCTGAACAAATGGTTAAAGGCTTCATTCAGATCACACGGAGCTCTGTAAGAAAGGCAGCACATAGATCCAAGAAGAGAAACTGAGGACCATTAACTCTCTGGATATCTAGCAAGTACTTCTCTTCGCGAGCTTTGTACAACTGTTTCAAAGATCAAAAGGAAACTCATAAAAAGCGTAAAACTACGTGACCATTGTTGTTCGAAACCAGTTTGTTCAAGTTTTAATGAAGGTTTAAGTCTGTCCTAGCTGGTTTAGTTTTGTTGAACTACTGGGAAAACAACTAAGTAACCTAAAATACTATTGGGATATAACAATAACAACAGCAAATCCTAGTCTTTGCTATAACTTGATTCTGGTAATGTAGAATCGTTTATCGGTTCATAAACCTACCTAACCGAACTGGGCAGTCGGTTTTTTCTCTCCTAGGTTTCTTGTTGATCCAAATATATGTGTGAGTTTGTAGTTACCTGAAGTTCAAATTTGATGACAGTGGGTGAAGTCATGGCACAGTCATCCTCAATAATGCTGGATTCGTCTCTGAAGTGGAGCTGATTGTTGACCATAGTATTCTGACCATCAGCAATACCAGGAACCCATCGACATTTCATGTTGTAGTGACCAATCTTCTTCCAACACACATTGAGTTCTTGAAGAGCTTTCAAAACTTCATTCATGATTTCACGAGGATGCGCATGGGACTGTTCAAAATAGAATGGTAAAAGATTGAATATGGCTTGGGTATGTCGAGGTAAAGAGTACTCATTCGAAACAAGAAAACAAAATTTCAGATACCAAATTTCCGAATAATTTGATGATTTTGGCAAAAGACGAAACATATATAGGATTGTATGTTGCATTCAGGCGAGGTTATGGTGAAAAACAAAAAGAATCAGCAATCTGGAACAGACCTGAAGTCCAAGAGCCCATTTTCGGTCAACTGGGACTTGTGATCTTGCTCCTAACCCGTAGTGATCCACATGTGCAGGAACCCAATGGCCTACAGGTGATGCAGCCGCTTCAGGTGTGCGCATAGGATTGGAACCACTGTCCTAGATGAGTAAAATTGAGAAGGTGAAAATGTTAGTAGAAAACCAAAGTGAGACCTTGGGTCTGACCAGTTCACTATATCATGTCGTAAAGTTTTATATTTTTCGTGGCCCTTATGAGATTTAAATGTTTGAAAGCTATCCACTGGGAGAAAAGAGAAACACATACTGTTGTCTCCTGAAACTCGGATTCAAGATAGCCACTTGGAACACGGAACCGGTTGTCCAATAACAGGTAGTATGTAACAGTAGCCTGATACGAGTAGCAAGTAGCGTTTCAGTGACTATTGGAAACTAGTTTAAGTAAATAAAAGACTACAGACAAAAAATAACATACATCATTTTGTGTTCTGTTGCGAAGAGATTCCATGACTTGGTTTCTGTCAAATCCCATGTTGACCACTTCTTGAATTATCTCCTCATTGATCTGGAAAATGTAAGAGAGAAGCTGTAACGATCAGTATCACCACAAGTGACTCTTTTAATTTCCAAATGGCGCTTAAACGGTAAAACCAACCTTTTTAGCCTGCTCTACTGTATCTGGAGGAGAAACAGCAAGATAACGAGGAAGATGGGTCTGGAACCAACGGTGTTGGCGGATCTCTGGAATGGTAATTCGTTTCACTGGGTCAACTATAAGCATCCTTGGGATCAGGTCTCTAGCCTCAGATGATAAATGACTAGGAAGAGTGTAAATCCCACCCTAGAGATAAAATAAAACATTGAATTAGTTACTTCACATAAATATGAATCCATTTGAGAAGGGTCTTTGAGCTGAATCAAAGTAAAATGTACAATACCTTTATTTTCTTGAAAAGGTTAGGAATGTTTTCATCATCAAATGGAAGAGTACCACACAATAGAGCATACAATATTACTCCGCAACTCCATACATCTACTTCAGGTCCAGCATATAATTTACCTGATATAACCTACAACAAGTAGTAACAGGTGATTCATTGAAATTTAATGTTTCAGATCATAATCTATGAATGGAGAAACGAGACATATGTAATAAAAAATTCAGAACGAACCATTGAACATAAATAGATAAAAAAATGTTTGAACAAATGGTTAAATGCTTCAGATAAAAAAAAATGTGTGAACAAATGGTTAAAAGCTTCAGATCAAAAGAAAGCAAAAGGAGACATAGGTAATGAAAGAACTCGTAACTTTACTAAAAAATGAATACCTCGGGAGCAGCGTAATTGGGGCTTCCACAGCTTGTCTTCAGAAAATGACCATCCCGCATGACATTACTAAGCCCAAAGTCAGCAATCTTAATATTGCACCTCGAATCCAATAATAAATTCTCAGGCTTCAGGTCTCTATGGACAACCATATTACGATGGCAATACTCAACACCAGATATTATCTGCTCGGACACAAGCCACACGCTTTCAACACTCTAAAATCAGCCGAGACAAAATACGCTACAAACACACTGGTTTTCGTCAGAAAAAAACATACCTGCTGGAAAAAGTTACGAGCCTCATCCTCTTGTAATCTACCTTTCTCTACAATATAATCAAACAGCTCTCCGGATTTGACATACTCCATGACAACATATATGTCACTCGGGGTCTCAATTACCTCATACTGCCGAATAATATGAGGATGCATAAACAATCGGAGAATCTTGATCTCCCTTCTCACTATAAAGAAAAAAAATGTACATACATTAAGATAAAACCCACAAGCAAACCACTCAAGCTAGAACCTAGCAATACATTTACAACACCTTTCTCTTCCATTTCCATGTTCTTGATCTTACGACGATTGAGGATTTTAATAGCAACCTTATGCCCTGTGACAACATGCTCTGCTATTTTCACCTTCCCAAAAGATCCAATTCCAAGAGTTTTACCAAGCTTGTAGTTAGGCAAAATCGATTCCACTCCATTATTGCCAAATCTATTCGATGAATGATCCATTTCCTGAACATTAACAAGCTCTCTTTAACAACTTCTCAATACAAGAAGAAGAACATCACTAAACCTTCAAGATATTAACTCAATTCCATTTCTAAATCAAGCTTGTAAGAAACAGAGACAACATAATCTACTTGTAATGGAGGTTTTACTCTGAAATCGAACCATAGACTTACGAATTTTAGGGATTAGAACGACGAAAGTGATAGACTTTACAAACCCAAACAAACAAAAAAGTCAATTTACCACAAAAAGGTACTTAATTTCGCAAACCCTCTTCGAGTAGATCCCAAAATCAAAAAGCCCAGAAGAACAATTGAAACAAAGAGCGAAGCAATACGCAGAAACAAGAGAAGAATCTAACTGAGAGAGAAGCAGAGAAGAATCGTAAGAGAGAGAGAGAGAGAAGAGCAGATATGTAACTTACGGAGTAATCTGAAGAAAATCTTGGGAACTTAGTTTTTTTCCAAGTCGTATGTGACGCAGAGCTGAGTCAGGTCAGGTACTTAAAAAGTCATGAAGGTGATGATCTCAGAGAGAGTATGTAAATTGGTAATGACGAAGAAGAATCAAGAAACCACAAAAACCCAGATAAAATGTTTTATTGCAAGCCCTTGAATTAGGGACATTTCTGACTTTTTTCTTTATTTTTCTTTCAAAAAAAACTAGTTTTTATTTTATTTTTTAGGTTTTTAAATTTATCATCATATAACAAAAATATTAGGTTGTCTGTTTTAGAAGAGGACCAAAAGAAAATAAACATGAATTATTTTTAAAATTTCAAAGTTTGTAAAGAATGTAACATGTGTTAAGTATATTGATAAAATATTAACAACGTAAAAACAAAATTATTTGATGAAATAGGAAAAATTAATTTGAAGATATGTATATATTTCATGTCTTTTATTAATTTCAACGAAGATTATAAATATTTCGCTAAACATACAAATGAAATCTCTATACATTCATGCATCAACATTTTAATATAATGAAATAATAAAAAGTGGTATTACATATTATTTCTATTCTTAGCGCGAACAAATTTATAAATTCGTTATTACTTTTTTGATATTTAATCGCCTCATTTAATATGATCATTTTGTTTGGATTGTATCTCTGGTAATGAAACTGCAAATCTAAAGGTTGCGAACCATCACTTACATCGCATATCATACAATCTTTACCATCTCCTACACTAGGTGATGGGTTTGTTTTAATCGTCAATGTTAACCATGACAAATCCATAATCTTGATTTCTTTGTTGACGTTCGATAAACATAGATGAAAAATCTTACTAAAATTAACTATAACATTTGGTTTCTTCAAGTGCAGGAACATTCCCGCCATAAAGATAGGATCTCCAAACCTTCAAGGTGAAAACAACTCCAGCCATCTCCAAATAGTAAGTACATTAGTTGCCTTTATGCTTCCTCAACTTCCTCTAAGTACAAGCAATCACCCTACCCTGCTGCATGAATACACATTCAAGACCCACTCTCGACGCATCTGTATATACCACAATATAAATCGATGCCCTGCTCTAGCAATGCCAAAATTGGTGTACGAGTCTACATCGCTTTCAGTTTCTCAAAACTCTCCTCACACTCCAGAGACCACATAAAAATAACACTAATTCCTATTAGTTAGTCATAGCTTGTGTCTTACTCGCGAAACCTATGATGAAGAACCTTCGATAACAACCCAAACTCGAGCAAACTATAGCAAACTCTTGATCTTGGTAGCATTCTTTGGCCTTGACCCTTCTCTCATAGCCTGGATCTTCTTTAGATCCATTAAAACCCTATCCGGTGAGATAATGTGACCCAAAGACCTGATCTCTCGCTTCCAGAAATTTAACTTGCTCAACCTAGCGAACAGCTTCTGCTCCCGCAGTTTCTCCAAAACAACCCTCAAATGAATCTTGTGCTTTTCGACATTAATCGAATACACCAAGAAATCATCGATGAAGATAATCTCAGTTTCATGCGGTTACTCCTGGAACACTCCATTCACGGGCGTTATAGGGGACGATGCCGATATTATGGCACCCGACATGATGGTTTCATTAGAGATTGCAAAGCTGAAGAAGCAGCTGGATAAGGATTTTATCCGACCAAGCAGTTCACTATGGGATGTGGGGAGCACGAGTGTCGTTGAAACATATGTTGTCCTTCGATTCCTGATTGTCCTCTACCTCCTTTGGATTTTTTTTTTTGCTTTTCTGGTTCCACGTAAAAAACAGTGGAATTTCTTCAAAAATAAACTTCTTTTATTTTTGTTTATTAAGATCAAACCAGCAAGATTGAGAGGATCTTTGTTATTTTTCTGGTTATGAACATTGTTGACCATGCTTAACCTAACAACAATGGATAAGATAATAACAAATTTTGTCGTCAAATTAGACTGCTGAAACCTTCTTCGAAGTGGAAGACAATGCTAAAGGAGATGATGAATCATCACTTAACCATTTTGAAGGAGTATAAGAATTGCTACCATCTTGACTACTAGTAAGTAAAAAGGCTTATCTAATACACAATAGTGTTGTCCTGTTTGTATATGTGAACTTAATAACATAATAAAAGTGATTAATAATGTAAATTATATAATTTGCAACCAGATAACACTCTTAAAACCTTGTAGATGTCCAAGTCATTTCAAAGGTTCTCATTTCCAACACATGCTAGAAACTCGTAATTAGTTTTCCCGCATAAATCCTTTATTTTTCTTGGAAAAATCTTGTGGATCCTCAATCTATGAATTGGGATTGAATAAAATTTAGTAAATCCAATTATCAAATTAAAATTATGAATCTAAAATATATGCCAAAATCAATAACCTCATCGTATGCTCCTTGAATGAGACTGTTTGCAACATAGCCTACAATTTCAGTAGCCATGCAAATATCATCAATTTCATTTCCCTAGTTTGATCCATAACTTGAACATGCATCTTGAACTAGACAAATTTAGGTCAACATATGGAATTATTTATTAAACATATTCATAATACCTATTATCATTTAAACTAATACCTCAATTATAGTATAGATATCTCTGATATTCATAGATGGAAATGTGAGATAAAGCAAGGTCGTTATCGCGTCTTGGTCTATTTTCAAGCAAAGTGAGAGCTAATCCATCCTTTGGTAAACTATATACAACATAAAATATACAGGTCACTAAAACATAGAAATTTAAATACAAAATGTTTGAGTGACAAAAGATGCATTGAAAGCATTTGAGACACTTGTAACATCTAGAGTAGTATAGATTATTGTTTAAAATATTATAGAATTTAATTAAGAACTAAAAGTATTTAAAGATTATTCGTTACATTTGTAATTTTTGATTTTTGCAAATCTCATTAGAAAAATAACCATATCTTGGTCATCTTGATCACATGCTGAAAACATTTGTTCAGCAAAGGAACCCCATAATATTAGAGGTTTAAAGTTAATCACAATAATCACAAAATACATATCTGAGGAATGTGTAGGAGGTAGACATATCTTTTGAATTGGTGGCAAGCTAAAGCTGTTGAGAATAGGTATGTGTTTTGTGAGTATACTATAACCTACATGAATAAATATTTATATATAGCCTACTTACTAAGGGTTTAGATGTGGTGCACATAAGAGTTTTGGAGATGAAGAACAAAAAATTGGGGAGCTCTGATTTTGTTAGTACATATTCGAGTTAGTAGTAACTGAATACAATTTAGGCATGTTAGCTTTAAAAAGGCGTAAATTAGAGATTGTTGAATACAGTTTAGATCATTAGCTTCTATTTTCCGTGTAATTAGTTATGGAATGAGTATTGCATATCGAATATGCTCAAATCAATAAGATTGTATATATGATTTGTATTTATTTTATATTTAATGTATCATATCTTTGTTTCTGATAAGGAATCATTAAGCCCAAAAGAGAATGGATGCTTTCATGAAGCTCATTTACAAAATCGACCATTACTTTTTTTCCACGAATCGAACTTTTGTTGTTTTGATAATAACCTAGTAAACCCGCAGATCTATGGGTAAACGTGTGGGACCCTGATTTGTGGAAAGGCTTAAATGATTGCTTTGGCCATTTATATTATCAAAGTGTACTTATCTTTTTGGTCAAGAATCCTGAGAAAACTCCATTGTTAAGCGTGTTTATACTGGAGTAGTATGTGGAGTTATCAAAGGATGGGTAATCTTCCAAGAAATGATTGTCGAAACTGTGTGAGTGAGATCAACACACAGAGAAAGATATTATGGTAATTTGTAGGGTCGGTAAACAAATCATTAAGCCTCCCGGACGTAGCAAACCGGCCGTCGGATATGGGTGGGCTCACAGGTCTAGTGAGAAGACGTGAGGCCCATTAAGAGATGTGGGTCCAAGGGGGCTGAGAGTGAACATGGGGACCACTGGAGAAATGACGGTCGGGGCGTTACAAGTGGTATTAGAGCGGATCCCAGAAGCGTGTGAAGTCAAGTGGGCTCACACCGTTAGGGGGTGACGGTCTTGGTGCGCAACAAGGACGTTGCAGACTATTATTAGGGGAGAACTGTGGGACCCTGGTTTGCGGAGAGGCTTAAATGAATTTATTTGATCACCTATGTCACCAAAGTGCACTTATTTTTTCAGTCAAGAAACCTTAGAGAACTTCACAATTAAGCGTGATAATGCTGGAGTAGTCAAGGGATGGGTGACCAATTGATTGTCGGAATTGTTTGAGTGAGGCCAAGAAACATGGAAAGATCATGTGGTGATTTGTACGGTCGGTAAATAAGTCTATAAGCCTCTCAGATGTATCAAACCAACTGTCGGATATGGGACCATAGGTTGAGAGTAAACATGGGGTCCACTGGAGAAGTGACGGTTAGGGCGTTACAAAACATGTTGGGTAATCAAATTTTAAGTCATGTATTCCAAAATTTATCCTCTCTAATTTGGATTACTATTTTTCTTTAACAGTGATTAAGGGATAATTTTGGAAATTTTAGGCCAATTGGTGGTAATGTCAAATGTGTACGTCCCAAAATAGACAACCACATAAATCTTTCTTTGAGTTTATGAATTAAAATATGCCAAATATTCAATAAAGAGTATTTTGTTTCGAAATAATTTTATACGATATTCATTTCTAACTATATTTACTTTTCAAAAGCTAAAATAAATATAAATTATCTTTACTGATTAAGTTTCCACTTTTTAGAAAAATTATATTACATTAATCATTAGTATAAATAAAAAATGACAAAACAATAATTAATCTATATCAATAAATAGTATTCACTTTAACCAGATATTATTTTGCTTTAAAGTAATACTTTATTATGAGTTTCTTATTACAATAAATAAAAGTATCAAATATATATAGTGCATAGATTTTTTTATTTTTTGTGTACATGACTTTTCTTTAGTATTATATATGAAGTATTCAACTCATTCATTTGTAACCAACTAGAAACACTTCATAAAATATCAAAGCATTTGGGTAATTTTATCATGATTTGTCGGATAACGACCAGTTTAATTGTGATTGTTATACTATTAGGAATAGTCACGAGAAGCGAGTATTCCAATACTCGTGATGTTAAAGTAGATCGGCTCCTGAAGAAACTCAATAAACCTTATGTTAAATCCATCAAGGTTTACTTAATTTGTGGATTAGTTACACAAAATTACATATATATATTAATTGCTCTTAACTCTTATTTGTGTGTATGTTTTATAATTCTTAAATAGAGTCCAGATGGAGATATCATAGATTGTGTTCACATGAAAAATCATCCAATTTATGATCATCCTTTATTCAAAAACCACACCATTCAGGTTCAAATTTTTGTAAATTTTTTGAATCAATATTATTGTAGTGTTTTAAGTATATGCACTTCATGTTTTGGTTTTATCACCTTTTATTAAAAAATCGCACCATTCACCGAAAAGTATTTATACTATACCAAAACTTGATACTAACGCTAAAAATAACCAGTTGAAAGTGGGTTATCTAGGTACATTTCACTTTGTCAATTTTGAATATTATCCATTACTTTAAATCTAAAACGTTTTTGTTGTAGATGAGACCAAGTTCTTACCCAGAAGGATGGACCAATAAATACTCAAATAACAAAAAACAAAATATGGTTGCTCAACTTTGGACAATCAATGGTATATGTCCAAAAGATAGTATTCCGATCAGACGAACGAGAAAAGAAGATATTTTACGAGCAAAATCAATAGAAAAATATGGAAAAAAGGAACCCAACAATATGTTTTCACGTAAATCAGTTAATCAACCGAGACAAAGTGACACACATGAGGTATATATCGCATTTATTTAAGTACATAAAATGGTATCATTTTTATTAATTTTTATGAGTATATATTGTAGTTTCTTATATATCTATGTTTATGTACATATATAGTATGCTATACTTAGACTGCAACCAAATTCCCCTCAAACTAAGTTTCATGGCACCCAAGCGTTTCTAAACGTGTGGAGACCTCATGTACAAGATGACGGCGAATTTAGCCTAGCACAAGTATGGGTTGTGGCTGGAAATTATAGTACTCTACTTAACTCCATTGAAGCTGGTTGGCAGGTTTTAGTTATACTTTTTTATTGTAGTTGCATGTTTATTATTTATTCTTCTTTGTTTATTAATTATGTTGTTTTTAATTAGGTGTACCCTGAACTTTATAGAAATGGTAGTCGTCTAGTTCGACCATTTGTCTATTGGACTGTGAGTTTACTCCCACTTTATTGTTATGAATTTTTTGGCTAATAGTAAAAAAATCCCTATACCTACTTGAATATTTGTGGATGCGCTTTAATATTCGTGGCTATAGCGTCGTAGCTTAAATAATTGGTGGCTTTTTTTGTACTAAATCGCCTTATAGCCACGAATATTTGCGGCTGCGCAAGTGGCTATAGATTTTTTTTTACTAGTTCGTCAAACAATGTTTATAGATGAAATTTTATGTGTGCTGTTTGACAACGTGAAACAGGCTGATAGTTACAGGAGAACAGGTTGCTATAATACTATGTGCAGCGGCTTTGTTGCTATCAACCAGGAATTTGCTCTAGGTGCACCCATTCTTCAAGTTTCCTTCCAGGATGGTCAACAAATCGAGCTTTTCGTAAGTATATGGAAGGTAAAAAATAATTCATGTTGTTTTTCATCATACAATTTAAACAATTACTCCTTAGCATATAACATTTAAATATTGATTATATATTAATAGGACCATAGCACAGGAAATTGGTGGTTGAAATTTGGTCCTCATTTTTATGTTGGGTATTGGCCCAACGCATTGTTCAATACTTTACAAACTGGTGGAGCTGAAGTCCACTGGGGAGGCGAAATCGTAAATTTAAAGAATCACTCACGACATACAACGACAGTAATGGGAAGTGGATCATTTGCAGAAACTGGATATAAAAAGGCTAGTTATTTTAGGAATATTCAAATACTTGATGAATATAATACTGTGAAACAACCTGTAAGTGATTTACGACCTGCTGTGACGCATCCTAGTTGTTATACCATTAGGTATGGCACTAATCATCCTACATGGAAGACTTATTTCTATTATGGTGGTCCTGGTGGAACTAACCCTTTTTGTACTTTATAGATGTATGTATGTTGTGTATGAATCTATTAATGGTGATGGTGAAATAAAATGTAAGATAAAATTTTAGATGGCCAAAATTTGAATGTTCGTGATTTAAATTGTGTTTCTCCATCGTTTGCCACTAATGAAGAGTGATTAACGCTTGTTAGCTGATTCGTTTTCGGATTAAATCATGTATTTTTGGCTTTGTCAAAGAGACGGGATGACTAAAAAGCAAGTCAAAGCAAAATGATGTTTTAAATGGGTTACAAAAAGTTCAAGGTTTGACCGGAAAAAAGGTTCAAGATTTAAATGACCTAAATTTTAATTTTCATTGTTCAATTGACTTTTTCCCTATATATTTATATATATGTACCTTAACTGATTACCACTTTTAAATAGTAGAAGTTATAAATAGGGGAAAAATAGCTTATTTAGTATTATTTGGGGTAAAACTGTGTAACAATACAATGCATATGATTGATTACAAGTGCTAAATATGCATTAAGATTGTCCTTCGGTTTTAATATAAACTTATTAGAAAAAGCTAGAACACAAGAGAAGAGAAGAAGAAAACAAGCGGTGCAAATGATCCAATTAGAACACTTTGTTTTTATATATGGTCTTGTGGGTAAGATCCAATTAGTGCTCGGTGGGTGGATCAAGTCCAGGTTTTTAGCATAATATAGAATTTGTTAAGGTAGGAGTGTAATTCAATCACTTTTCAAATTAAAATAAAAAATAAAAACGAAAAAAATAATAGAAGGGGAATTTGAGATTCTAAATTTTCCCTAAGGGACATGTGAGGTAAAACTCGAAACCGATACACCTCATGTTCGAGACCAGACCTGCTCGAACCGACCTCTAAACTTTTGCCAGAAATCTTAACCAATTGAGTTATTAACACTTAGTTGTAGCATCATATTATTCACCGTCGCTTCTTGACCATTATTGATTCTATTCAAAATAACAAGCGACAAATATAGGCACGATGACAGGAAAATGTTCGTTTCATACCCGTACAAGTTTAGAAGTGTCGATTTCTATCTGTACCAAACCACAGTGCGAATTTCTACTCAAACACAAAATCAATTCAAATTTCATACCTAATTAGTACAAATAGTGCCAATTTCAGACTCCACATTAACATATGAAGACTCATACGCCACGTGTCAAAGTGATATGTTGACTCAGCGGACATGTGTCACATGACTTAGAGCGTGAGAGTGATGTGGCATTGTGGCATTTAAAGAATTGTTTTGGCATTTTTAATTTTGTTTTTCTATTGTAATTTTAATTGTAATTATAATATAGCCAAAACAATTCTGTAAACCTCTTAGAATAAATCACCATATTCCTAATAATGTGATGTTATATTTTAAATTTTAAATTTTTTAGAATTTATGTAATTGTTATCATTACAATTGTATTTATAAATGTAGTATAATAAAAAAATTAAAATATTATAATTGTAATCATTCAGAGTATCTAATTTTTTTTGAAAAATTTAGAATCACGGTATTAAAACGATATCGTTTTGTCATACACAATGCCACATCACTTTCAAGCTCTAACACGTGTCATCTGAGTCAGCATATCCCTTTAACACGTGGCGCCTGAGTCAACCCCTATATATTAATAGACAATCCTTTTTAAAAGAAAAAACTGATGTGGTACTCTCAGAGAGCTCTTCATAAAATATTGCACAATTAGCATTGTAGAAGTTAAAATTTACAAAACAACCTCTTACCTCATTCACAAAAATCGATTATTTGAAAAAATGTATATAATTACATCGCTTTATTGATATCAATATTTTACTTTACACTCACCTTAATACCGTAATTAACAAATATATTAAACCCTAAAGTCTCCTTTGCTATATAAATAGCCTCCATTTCATCATACATTAATGTTTTAGTAACAATGTCTTTGCTTTTGTTTTTGTGTATTGATGAATTGTTCCTAAATGAAAATTTTTAATACCTGGATAGTATCCAAGATAAACAAAGAAAGTCCAATGTTGTACATATATTTATTCTTTCCTATGAAATTCATTTATGATGATAAGAAAAAATGATGTATACATAATACACGTTAACTTTAAGCTTATTTATTTAGTTTTCTGTATTAATAGTCCTCTAACTCTCATGAAATATGATTTCAAGAAGAAATTTCTCAAGAGTCAAACCTATTAGGGATCTAATTTTACAAGACGCAATATTGTAATATTTTATATTTTCTTATTTACAATGTTCATATACAATGTCATGTTAATTTTTGTGATATTGCAATGCATAACCAACAAAAAAACTATAATTCACCCTCTAACCACTCTAACCATCAAACTATCATATTCTCTATATTATATGTATTAATGACAGTTTTTGCCCTTTTTGTCTTCTTCTTCTTTTTAATTATGTTTTCCTTTTATTTTTGTTCTCATTTAATTTAACATATATATACTACTAAAGTTTTCATATTAATTATTTGAATTATGTAATTTCTTTTTAAAACATTTTCTCTGTTTTACTATGATTAGAATTTTTTACAACAAACTAATTTCATTATGATTAAGTTATTATATAGAACAAACAAATATTCTATTCTATTTTAAAAAAGGCAACAAAGCATTTTCAAATATTGAGATTATTTTACTGCTTTTAAACATATGTTTTGGGAGAAGATTTTACTTTGTCTTTGTCTCAACGTCTTGCTCACTGTGGCAAGAAAATATCTAGTGTAAGAAACGAACTAGGCATAACGCTGAGGAGAAGATTCTTCTTATTCGTTATCATTTGGAATTTTGGATAAAGCTATTGCAACTGGTAACAGTACTCCAAATCAAAGTGCCTCTCTTAGAAGGGAACTTAATGAAGCTTATATTGAAGAAGAATTTCATTGGAAAAATAAGAGCAGGAATACTTGGCTTAATATTGGGGACAAAAATACTTCTTTTTTCCACAATGCTGCAAAGAAAAGGAAGCTTCGCAATAGGATTAGTGCTATTCAAGATGCAAATGGGATTATTTGTAGGAATGATACTCAGATTGCAGAGATTGCTACTCAATATTTTCAAGCTGCTTATACATCTCAATTAATGAGTGATCTTAATATCAGACAGGTTCTTCATGGGTTCCATAGTAGAGTTACTAGTGACATGAACAACAATCTCATCAGGGATATTACAGAGGATGAGATAAAAACTGGTATTTTCTCTATTGGTCCTCAACGTGCTCCAAGTCCAGATGGTTTTTCAGGTATCTTCTATCATCAGTTCTGGGATCATATCAAAGATGATATTTATAAAAGAGATAAAAGGTTATTTTTCAGAATAATGATTTGCACTGCCTTCATAACCACACTAATATATGTCTTATTCCTAAGATAGATAGGCCTACTTCTATGATGGATTATCGGCCTATAGCTCTTTGCAATGTGAGCTATAAGATTATTTCCAAGATCTTGGTTAAAAGGCTGAAATCTCATTTATCATAAATAATTTCAGAAACTCAAGCAGCTTTCATTCTTGGGAGAATGATTACTGATAATATTATTATAGCTCATGAAGTTCATCATGCTTTAAAGGTGCGTAAAAGACAATCTAAATCTTGTATGGCTGTGAAAACAGACATAGCAAAAGCTTATGATCGACTTGAGTGGAATGTTCTAGAAGAAACTATGAAGAGTATGGGTTTTGCTTCTCAGTGGATTAAGTGGATTATGGCTTGTGTTTCATCTGTCAACTATTCGGTTTTAATCAATGGTGTTCCTCATGGAAATATTCAGCCTGAACGTGGCCTTCGTCAAGGAGATCCTCTTTCCCCCTATTTTTTTATCCTTTGTGCAGAGGTTCTGACTTTTCTTATTGATCAAGAAATAAGGAGTCGAAGACTTCAAGGAATAAAAATCAGCAATGGAGGTCCTCAGCTAAGTCACCTTCTTTTTGATGATGATTCTTTATTCTTTACTCTTGCTAATGATAAGTCTTGCAAGGTTTTAAGAGATGTATTCACAACCTATGAGAAAATATCTGGTCAGGCTATTAATTTCCATAAATCTTCTATCACCTTTGGAAGTCGTGTGAAACCTGATGTGAAAAGAAGAATTCATAATTTGATTGGGATTCATAATGATGGTGGTGGTAAGTATTTGGGGCTTCCAGAGCAATATAATAGAAAGAAAGCTGAGATGTTCCAGTATATTTTAGAGAAGGTCAGAGACAGAACTCATGGTTCAAAGATCTTGAAAATTTTAATACGGCTATGCTAAGTAAACAGTCTTGGAGAAGCAACTGATGAAGCAAAATCTTCTTATCTTTGGAAGTCTCTTCTTCAGGGTCGTGATCTATTGAAGAAGGGCCTTCGGTATGTTATTGAAGAAGGGCCTTTTTCGACTCTTCTAGATTTAACAGTCAGCTTGGAGGAGAAAATTCAACTTCTTAATTATTACTATGAGCAATAAAAAGGATGTGAATTCCTTGTTTGCATCGTGATTACATTCAAAGTTAATAAAATTGTTATTTGAGTAAATATATATATGTTTTGGGTTTTAAAAAATGATATTACTCACATGAACATTTGATCAATTTGCTTATGTTGTATATCTTACTCTATATTTTTTCGTGTGTATAATTCAAAAGTTTTTCATATTTATTATCACTTGGGTTGATTTTATTGTATCCCTTAGGTAGGCATGACCAAAAGCTAACCTTAACCGTATTTCTAACTATAACCAAACCGTTTATAAAACGGTTAAAAACTGTAACCGTCAATCGTACAAGTAATTTAGTTACAATTAAAAAAATACTAACCGTAACCGTTAATTAACCGTAACTGTAATAAACCACCGGTTAACCGTACAGTTAACCGCACATTTAAAATTATTAAAATAAATTTAAATTATAATTATAACTGTATATAATGAAAATACACATCCAATGTTTGGATAAGATTTTAACATTATTAAAAGCAATACAACAAGTTGAACTCGTAAGTAATCAAAACATTTCATACTAAACTATTTATATTTTTATTTCTGTGTATATTTGATATTCAGTTTCTTAGTTTTGATCAAATACCCAGATTTAACTAATTCACTATAAATATTTGAATCACGTATATTTTGTACTTGTAAAATAAAATATTATTTCATATATTATTTTATTATTATTATAAAGTTAAAAATATAAAATTTTGTCTGTATATTAATATTATAATAATTATCAAATAACCGCAACTGTATTTAACCGTAACTGTAGTTAACTGTAACCATATATAACTATAACCGCTTTAACCGTATAGATAATGGTTAAGGTTATGGTTAAAGAAAAAAATAACCGTTAATCGGTGGTTAATTAACCATAACCGCATTAACCGTAACTGTGGTCATGCCTACCCTTAGGGTATACATTTCTTAGCCATTGTGTGTTTAAATCGTTTATTTGGGTTCTCTATGTTGTATCATTTAGGGTATAGCGTCTATAACTCAGTATCAGTTTAATTCGGCAATGGTTAGTTTTAGTTTCAGCTTTGTCTCCCGTTTTGTTTTGTACATGTATCTTTCATCTAAGGTTGTGTCTTCTCACCATATCCACTGGCGGACCTTCTCTATCACCACAACCAAGTCATAACCAAACAAACAACTACTTCCGCCGTAACTACCATCACCACAATCTTCACCACCATTACCACCACCACCACCATATATACAACCACGACTACAACAACATCCACCACTACAATTAAATTATTAAAGATTGTGTTACAGACTTAAATAATTTGTAGTATATTATTCTATTTTATGTGTTTCTATATAGAACATTATTTTCATCGTTACTAATACTACTCATCATTGGAACCACTATCACATCGTGATGAGGTCATAAAAATTGAGGTCCTCTACATCCTCAAGAAGCTTCCAAGAGTGCATAACTTCATGCCCAAGCTGTGTAGATACAAAGAATCTCAATCTTTCCTCATTTGGCCAAATCGAGCATGAAGGACAATATCAATCAATCATTTGATTGATTTATCATTAAGCTTGATTTTTATGCATTTATGTTGATTTATTTTCTTATTTATTGTCATAAATTTAGCTATGCACGAGCCTATATAAGCTCACCTTAATCCATTGTAAAACGTATCCTTGAATTTGAAAGAAATATAAAAAAACTAGAAGTTTTCTCTCTTTTGAAACTTAGGCTTCTTTTGCTTGTCTTTTCGATTGCGTGTGAATCCTTTAGAAAGCAAGTTGGATCTTTATCTTTGTGTGTGATTCACAAAGATTTTGATTATTGTTCTTATCACAAAGTCATTCCGCAACTTTGTGTGGCGAACTTCGATCCATTCAAACTCTAGGCCTTGAAACCGTGTGATCAATAAGTTCGGTGGATTCCGAGCCTAAATCACATCGTATACCCACCACCACTATACTATATAACCACCACAATCTTCATCACCACCACAACCATAAGAAGAACCACGTCTACAATTACATCCAATACTGAAAAATTGTGTTAAATACTTATATAGTATGGAGAATACGATTCCATTTCATGTGTTTCTATATAGAACGTTGTCTTCTTCGTCATGAGTACTATTCATCATTTTAAAATTTTCATATCCGATTTTAAAATTTCAAGATATGTTGAATGCAGAATAAAAATATAAACTTTTTTTACATAAATTAGAGGTCCCTAAATTAGAGAGTTGATATTTTTTTTTTTTGAAAAGATATATTACTAACAAATATAAAGGGGTAAAAGTTTTTATTTCAAATAAACAAAAAACATAAAAAAATGTTGGATTTAGATGTCTTTCTCAGTCTTATTTTTAGGGACAGTTTAGTCATTTTACTAGAGTCATATGTTAGTTTCTTAATATCCACTTTCTAGTGCTATATTCTTAATTTTATTATCCAAATTCACCCTGAATTTTTTCTATTTATATTTGAATAGTGCTCTTATTTCAACTACACATGCAATTTTTTTCTATTTATATTTGTTCAAATTTCTTTGGAAAATGCATTTTTGAAGACGTATCGAACTTCAGCTGACATATGCGTTAGCTACATGGTTGTATTAATCTCACTGTTACCCATTTATTGTATTTTATTTCATAAAAATCACACATAAATTTCAATATCTATCCCACTTTATTTTCACTATTTGTTCATTCCTGAATCACAGAATCTTTTGAACATATGAACAACGACATGTGACAGGAAATTGTTGATTAGCATTATATTTTAACAGAAATACAAAATTTATTACAACATTTTTAATTGAGATACAAAATCAGAACATTTAAATAAGAAGTATACGTAGAGGGGTGTATTCAAATAGCATTTAAAATGATTTAATTTGAGTTTTTAAATGTTTTTGATGATTTTAGAGAAGTTCATATGTTTTTTGTAAAATCCTTTCAAATCTCACATAAAACCATGAAATTTGGATTTCGGTATTTTTAACTAAGGAACTCTTCTCAAGTTCTTCAAAACCCTTTAAAAATCAAATCCATAATTTGATTTCAATAACAGTGGATTTTAAGATGGATATTAAAATCCTTAGTTCAATAACACTAGATTTTATGAGACTTTTTAAAATCCATATTTGAATAACATAGGATTTATGAATTCTACACAAATCTCTTCGAATTCTACTTTCAATACAGAGTCTGAAATTGGTACTATTTGTACTAATTAGATATCAAATTTGAATTTTTGTTTGAGTAGAAATTCGCACTGCGTCTTTGTACATGGTAGAAATCGACACTTTTGAAGTTGTACGAGTATGAAACGGCCCTTTTCCCACGATGACCAAGGCAAGTACGATGGTCGATGGCTACCTAGATCCAAGACATAACGGTTTTGTTTTGTAAATTTGCTAAACTTGTGTTCAACTTTTGTTTGTGCTCGTCTTCTACGTGTATATGAGTTTATGCTTTCATTTCTCCACTCTCTCCAAATGAAGCATATGAATGTATGTTTACTCATATCTCTCTTCGTCGTTGAAAAACCAAAACGTCCTTAACGACACATATTGTGATAACAAATGAGATTTACCAAAATTGGATCAACAAAACATAAACAATCTAAGAATCTCTATAATCCAAGTTTTTTTTAAGCTGTTAGAACTCAACTAGAGGAGATTCTACACATTAGATTCATGTAACAGCTCAGGTCTATTACTTTATGGATTACAAATCTCTAAAACTTTTGTATGCACAATATTTCTTTACCTTTCGTATTACTCGAGTTCAGTAAGAGGGAATGGCTGCGAAACGATACCCTTCAGCTCCTCTCCATGAATAGTAAGCAATACGGGTCTCATAGAAACCTGTAGCCACAATTTTCGAAATGAGTCAATGCCATGTAGATCACTGTGTCTACATGATCCAACTCAATCAATCTATACATCAAACAATATATTCCACTAGGCTTTCAATATCAAACATCATGCATTAAGCATGGAACAAAGAGAGGATATTTCAACAGACAAAGAACAGAAGCAGAGTCTGTCTACTTGATCCAACTCAATCAATCTCCACATCAATCAACAGATTCCACAAGGCTTTCGGAAATAAACATCATGCATTAAGCATCATACAGAGAGAAGATCATTTCAACAAACAAAGAACATAAGCAGAGTCTGTCTACCCAGTTTTCACATCAAACAACAGATTCCACAAGGACTTACAAATCAACCATCATGCACTCAGAACAGCAGCATGGAAGAACTCTTAAACATAACTGGCTAAACAGAGAACACAATCTCAGCAAACAAAGAACACAATCTTGTGTCTCTCAAAAGTTAGTCGATCCCATCTCACTCAAACTCCACACTAAACCACAGATTCCACAAGGGTTTTCAAATCAACCATCATGCACTCATAACAGCAACATGGAGGAACTCTTAAACATAATTGGCTCAACAGAGAACACAATTTCAACAAACAAATAACACAATCTGTGTCTCTCATAAGTTACTTGATCCCATCTCACTCAAACTCCACACTAAACAACAGATTCCACAAGGGTTTTCAAATCAACTCAGAACAACGACATGGAGGAACTTCGAAGCATAACATCGAACATAATATCAACAAACAAAGAACACAATCTATGTCTCTAGTCAATCACAACTCACTCAATCTCCAAATACAAACAACAAATCCCACAAGAGGCATTCACACCAACAACACGAAGAACTCAAATAAGCGAAACGGAAACAAGACTATTCATATCCAAACATCTTACCAGGGAGAAAAGTAAGGATCCCAAGTACAAGAAGAGCATAACCTTGAGAACTATCTCCTTCCATATGACCAATGAAGATAAAAAACGACAAAAGAAGAAGCAAACAACCAAGCAACAGAAGAAACACAGCTAACGCTATAGATTTCCACGGCACTCTATCAAACGCTTTCGGCGTATAATCGAAACGAGGATCGAAATCTCTCCTTCTACCAACACCATTTCCATAATCTTCATCATCTTCATCTCCTGGAAGCTGAGCATACCGTACATTTCTCCTTGACGCCATCACTAATCACAACACAGATCATCATCATCATCATCATCATCATCATCAACAATTCAACAAGGTTCATATAAACATCATCTGAATCTAAAAACCTAATCAAAACAAAGTCTAACTAAGATCAATCAAAGTGATTCCAAATTAATCACCGGTGAGATTGAAAAATCAGAACGACGGATAAGAACTATGAAGAAGAAGAGATAGGGCGTGCCGTGAAACTTACCGGAGTTTTGGTTACTTCGCCGGGAAGGTGAAAGATTGAAGTAAGGATTCAGATCTGCTTCGCCGATGTTTCTTCTTCGTCTTCTATAACGACGCGTTTTGTGAGAATAATAACAATTTGTTTGATAATTTACAGATTAAACCCTAATATTTTAACTAAATTGCATTTGCACCCTACTATTTATTTTGAAACCTCAATCTTTCCAAATCAATCTACAAATTAATACTACAGAAGTGGATTAATCTACTTGAATGTTTTATTATCTTAGAGATGTGGATGCTTGTGCCTATTATTTTGAAACAGTAAAATGTAACCGATAGATAATCCCAATCCAGAATTCACTGAAAACTCGAGACAAGGGTAAATCTAGTCTAGAAGATAACTATGAAAGAATAGTCATCTCGAGGAGGTTAGATTTAGACGGTGATAGATGATGATAATGGTGAGAGAGCTTGAAGAAGAAGACGATGAATTATACTGTTTCATGTATCTTTTACTCGAAACAACATTACATATAACGAGAATAAGATAATTGAACCGGACAACTAAACCTGAAATCAGAAGATTAAACCAAGAGTCTAATTAGGTTATCCTATTATATATTTCTTGTATCTTGAATCAGTAAGTTATCATCTTACTTCATTCATTGCATAATCGTTCTCATGCTTTATCGAACTTGATAGTCTATTTATTTTTCAGGTTTAGGTTGTTTCTTTTCTTTTTACTTTAATATCGTCATCATAATTCATAACTTATGATTTGACCTTTCAGTTAACATCAGTGTTCCATACACTAGCGGATTAGTGGAAACTTTAAATTGTAAAGCTTAAGTGTCTCTTAAAAAATATCTCTTATAAGCTAAACCAAAATAGATTGCTTTATAGAAAGAAAAAAAATGTACATAAGTATACTAATCTTTACATTAAATAAAAGAAAAAGTTTCTTAATCACTCTTTTTTTATTTTGGCACAATTCTTTTGTCTAAAACTAAACCAAAACTGAAATGTATAAAACCCAAACCGAACCATATATTTTCAAACCAAAATGCATTCAACCGAATTTTATCGTTATTTCTGAAGTTAAAATTTGTAAACCCAAATATTTTAACTCAAATTAAACAAAACAACCATATACCAGAGGCCATAAAACAAAACCAAAACTAAAACTAGTAAACCGAATTTGTAAAACCCAGATTTTTTCATCTATTTATTGCAGAGACTCCTATTACTAATACTGCCATAACCTGTAATTAGTAAACTACCATCTTTACTAAATTACTAACTTTACTACAATAACCTCTAAATTAGCCACATTTTTTATATTTATTTTTTAAATCTGCTGTTATTGGTGTCTGTGACCCGGATCCGATATTTCCGGGTTCCCAAATCTAAAACTTCGCTTTTATCTTCTTCCTCGCCTCTTCATCTTCTCGCTTTTGGTTTCTCGGGAAGATTCTTCCCTTATTCTTCTCTCTCCCTCTCTCTCTCTTACAACAACAACAAAAGGGTCTTACCCTTTATCATGCTTCCTCGTTTCAGGTACAATTTTGATCTCTAGATTCTCTACATTGTTGATCCTTCGGATCTGTTCTGAATCATCAATGAATCGATCAATGATCTTCAAAGATTCATAAAGTTTGAGTCTTTTTGTATTTAAGCGATACAATGCATGTAAAGTTTTGTTTTTTTTATCTCCTCTGTTTCTGAAAATCTTCAGTATCATAGATTGATGATGTTGACGTTTTCAAAGTTATAGTTTTTATGTTTGAATTTGTTCTTATATGAACCTGAAAGTGATTGAATTTTTACAAATTTAGTGTATTATGAAGATGTTTAGGGGCTCATATGAGATTTTTTTTTTGTGTTAGTATAGTTTAATGTATTTGGGATTTGTTGTTACATGTTCTTGTGTCCCACTAAGTCATTTAATTGATTTTGTCATGTACACTTTTGTGAGCTGTTTACATTATTATATAGTTTTTGAGAGAGATCTTTGTATTGTTGTTGACTTGGTTGTTGATTCTTCAAACTGGATATACCTGTAATTGAAAGAAAAAAACAAGATTCATGGCAGTGACTTGGTCCCAATGTTAGTTAATAAGACAGAAGGAAACAACTATGTGGGGATGGATTAGTTTAAAGTATCTCTTTTTTGTCGAAAAGTTGTGTGTTTATGAATGTGTTGCAGATTTGTTGTAAAGGCATTGGTCTTTTTGTTGAGATTTCTTTCTTTGAACAGGATCTGAATAAAATTATAGAAAAATGGGTGGATGTGTGTCAACCCATTCGAGAGCCATTAGGCCTCGTAGGAAAGGTCGTCGTAGATCTTCAAAACACTTTTCGAAAGTGTCTGATATTGTTCCTCATGCTAATATAAGAAGGCCAAGTGATGTTGGGAGCCGAGTTTCTTTTGGTGAGTGTTTCTCTACAGGATAACTTAATCTTCCACTGGTGTGATAATATGAATCTTGATTTTGTTGTTATATAAAAGCTGGACAGTCATAGATTCTTACATGTAGAAGTTGTTATGTTGCAGCTGTCTCGCAAGATGATGCATGGTTTGACTCTGTCAGTGTTCTTGATTCGGATTCGGATGAGGACTTTATCAGCCTACCTGAAGGTAAACGTCAGTCTATGTTGTTTTCAGTATTCATGGAGATTAGAAGCTCATCTGATATGTAAGTACAATCAGAGGAATAATTTTGGAAATGCTTATGGATCTGACTAATTTTTACCATCTCTCCCTGCAGAAAACGCACCATCAGCACCATCAGTGGGTGGTGCAACGGGTAATATCCCAAATGGTCAGGTAGTTCAATTCGAATCTTCGTCGTGCATTGTGGATGGGAAAGGAAAGTATGAGGAATACCATGAGACTTATTTGAAGATAGACGGGAGTAAAGCCGAGAAGTATGTGAGCAAAGGGATGTACAAGGATCCTAGTGGTCTCTCTGTTCTCACTGGAAACAACAAGAAGAAACTAATGGATCATACAAGCTTTAAAGGCTTAAAGGAACAGAAAAGAAACTCTCAAGAGAAAACCCTGAGAACCAGCCTGAGCCGATTGATGCCAACTGTTAGTTTTAATGACAAGACTCTAAACTCACCAACATCTCAGAAACGTAAGTCCGCAGTTTATCGGCTTTCATTCAAGAGGAGATCGTGTGATGGTGAGGAAGTTACTGAGCATCGTAAAATGTTGTACCGTCCGAAAGCGGGATTCACTGTTCCTTCCTCAGCCAAAGAGAAGCAGTCCAGCGGTAGTTGGTGCGAGATACCGCCTTCAACTTTTAAACTCCGTGGAGAAACCTATTTCAAGTACACCTTTTAACACACTGTTTCATGTATCTTTTACTAGAAACTGCTTTGTCTGTAACTATTGAAGAATGATGCTTGCAGAGACAAGAAGAAAACCCCCGCTCCAAATCAGTGTCCGTACACTCCTATTGGTGTTGACTTGTTTGTCTGTCCAAGGAAGATTGATCATATCGCTCAACACATCGAGCTTCCAAACATCAAGTCCGAGGCAAAGCTACCTGCTCTTCTCATTGTCAACATTCAGGTAACAGCCACCAACATCAACAGCTTCTTCATCGTTACTTTGTCGCTAGCTTTTTCTTGTGTGAGCTTCATATGAAGTGTATAGATAGCGTTTTGAAATATGTATAAATGATCCTGACTTTTGTGACTCACTGGCAGTTACCAACTTATCCTGCTGCAATGTTCCTTGGCGACAGTGATGGAGAAGGCATGAGCATTGTACTCTACTTTAAATTACGAGATAATTACGAAAAAGAAACCTCTCAACAATATCAGGAGAGCATCAAGGTAGCTTTAAAAGCTATTTCTCTACATTTCTCACATCTCGTGATTGATCTGAATGCTTACCAAGTTCTTTTTGTTTATGGTTTTTGAAAAACAGAAACTTGTCAATGATGAAATGGAGAAGGTAAAAGGGTTTGCTAAAGACAGCAATGTTGCTTTCCGTGAAAGGCTTAAGATAGTGGCCGGACTTGTAAACCCTGAAGATCTAGCTCTAAGCTCGACTGAAAAGAAGCTTGTTCAGGCTTACAATGAAAAACCCGTCCTCTCTCGTCCTCAGCACAACTTCTTTAAGGTTCTAGCAGCACCACTAGCTCTTTAACACGAAAAGAAGTTGGCTTTGTCACCTCATTAACCATTGCTTTTACCTCTCTGCAGGGTCCAAACTACTTTGAGATTGATTTGGATGTGCATCGGTTCAGCTACATATCAAGGAAAGGACTTGAAGCATTCAGAGATCGATTGAAAAACGGAACTCTTGATCTCGGGTTAACCATCCAGGTAAAACTTGATACATATACTATGTAAACCAATTGTTCTCACAAGAATTGAGTAGATAAAGATTGAAACTTTCCCTTACAAACTGCAACATGAAACAGGCTCAAAAGCCAGAGGAGCTGCCGGAACAAGTCTTGTGCTGTCTAAGGCTGAGCAAGATTGACTTTGTTGACCATGGTCAGATCCCTATGCTTTTAATCCCGGAGGATGGGGAAACTCAAGTGTAAAACCTCATCAGTCATCACCTATTCTTCATCCCTTTGGATGAAGAAACCAACCAAAAATTTTCCATCTCGCCATAATTCACTAAAAATGTTGTATATTTCTGTATTATGTACATCTATCTAAATATACATATTTATTATAACATTCACAATGCAAAACTCATGAAGTTCATCTTCTTGAGTTTTTTGCCCTTTGTTGTAACTTTTCACTCTGTTACCACCTCAAATTATCTTATGTGTTATTTATTACATGTGCTGAGATTTCAATTGTGCCTATTCCATGTTGATTTACATTAGATATGGGTCAAAATCGAAAGAATAAACAAATATAGGGATCAAAATGTTATTATATAAAAGAAGAAGAGGTGTGTATTAGGCGTAGGCAAAATACACGAACCCGAAAATCCGATCGGAACCCGTTCCGAACCCGAACTCGAAACCTAAAAATACCCGAACACGTTCTATATCTCTAACCCAAAAAATCCGAATCCAAACCCGAACCAAACTGAAACCCGAACGGATATCCGAA